GGTAGCGCACCTTTTGTGCGTCGTGGTTTTGCATCACGAAAATTGCGTCACTCGTGTTTTTTACGCGTTTCACCTCGCGAAATGGGTTGAATTGAATGTATATACCTCCAATGAGTAAACTGTAATGAAGGAGAGCAGAATTATCCAGGGGCATTAGCAATGCCCGCCGCCCCAACTAAGAACAAGTGAGTGGCCTCCGTCGGAGGACATCTAGCAAGTAAAGGCGGTCCGACTGAGGAGGAGTTAGAACTAGCACTTTGAGCGGCTATAGCAGCCTCCACGCTCACAATAGAGTCGCGAAAGGTGAACAGTCTTCTAGCTTGGAGGCTAGACTACTTGCACAGCAAAGGCGACCACGAGCCACTTTGATCGCGGGGGCTGTCTTTAAACTCCCTAAGCGGCCGATCTGTGGGAAAAATGAGGACGCCTCTCCAAAACCCACTAAACGCTGGCACGCCCCAACTAACTTTAGTGATAATGACTAACGTATGTTACAGATGCGCTCAGTGTTGTTGTACTGGTTGCCGTGGCTTTTACGCATGAAGCGACCAGGTGTGAAGCTCACCTACGCAACACTTCCATCGCTATTCAACTCGAAACTGAAGAGTCATTCTGAATCGCTCATTAGGAACATCAAGGAGAATGAGTCCAGTACCTCTAGGTAAGAATCACTCAGTCTTGCGGTGAAACAATGCGTGGCGCAGTTCGGCGACGGTGCACGGGGGGGGGGGGCATTTTGCACTTTCACTGCTTCACTAGTTCCGGTTTACGAGTCTCACTCTGGTGAGACCTTGAACTCTTGAGAAGCTGGAGCAAGTTCATCGAGAGCCAGATTTTAAAAGCGGTCAACTCGTGTGAGCTCAAGAAATGGCTCTCTAGATGGGTCGACTCGTCGATCGGAAGAAGTGCAAAATGCCCCCTCTCTTCGTCGAACTGCCCCCAAAGCTTTAATATTGATCACGTTATTTTTGCTTGCTAGAGAGTCCTTCTTGAATCTTTTTCAGATCAAACTCTCTTGAAATTGAGCGACGCCTTCACCAATATATGTCTTCATCAGGATTAATGAATGGCATCTCACCTCCAACAGCACTGCCACAGTCGCAGGTTACATCATTATTACATACGACAGCTCTGCTAGGTTGAAATGAACTAGGATGTGTCCCACTTCAATTAACGCCCTTACTCACCGCCTGGTCGCACAGCCCTACGCAGTTACCCGCGACTTGACCCCAGGTTTAGGGTGCATTCGTTCCACAGTATGACCACGGCCTCGGTTTTTCACCAGGGCACGTCCTGCCGCTGGAGAAAACTATTCCCTTGTATTATGTGGCCCTCACCCTTTCCCCATCCTACCTACCAGCTTCCTAGAGTTTCCACCTTCTTACCCCTTTTTCCGGGAATTTTCCGAAAATTTTCTAGTTTCCAAAATCTCTCTAAAATTCTGATCTGCGAAAAGTCAACAAAAAACAAACAACGAAAAAGTCAGAAAAGTTCTTCCCATCCCGCAAATTTCTGTCAAATGCAGGTACGACCCCCCTCTACCAACAACGAGGAAATACGACCCCCCCCCCACCTATAGCGTTCATGAAACAAGAAAAGTCAATTACCAAGGAAATTTCGCAAACCATTTAACCAAGAACGACCCGCGCGGGGGTTTCCCCAACGCATGACGCGGTCTGGTTATCAGAAAAGATGTTACCGATATTCCCGATGAGTAGCGGCGGTCTCGAACGGTATTTCGGGTCAGAATTATTCCGCACTTCACACTAGAAAAGAACTTCGTGGGGCAAACATAGTATGTTGGTAGCAACTAAGCGCGCCAGCTTTTAGAACTTACTGAGACGTAGCTCAAGTAGGATCTCGGTAAGGGTTAGCAGGCAAGAGCAAAAAAAAATAGAGGAAAAAAAAGCAAAAGCAAAAAATCGAGAGCAATGCCAGTCTGCCGTGGCAAAGCAGATGTGCATGGAAAAAATGTCCTAATGTATGTAGTGCTATTAGTGCTGGAAAGGGTGCTGCTGGATCAGAGGGTCACTGCTGGATAATGGTACAGCAGTGAACTAGCATAGTCTAGTCTGATTGACTTCAAAAGATGGCAGACGATACTTGTGAACTTCGTCTTAAAAGGCCATTTCTTCCTACTCCATTTAGCGCCAACATGTGGCGATGATGGCATCCAACTGGTTCTCTGCTGTTACAGAGGATTAGTAAGCATTCTAAGCTTACTCACAGTCTTATGAATCTCTAAGTACTACCTACTTATGGTACCAATGCTTCACTCGGACGAGAAAACCGATAATTGGCAACTCCAGAATGAAAGCGATAAGGGCTTTGTCTGCGTTGAGTTCCTCAAAACGGACGGGAGGCTTGGTCGGTCTGGTTGAGTCCGGAATCTGATTCCCTAAACTGCTCACCGTCGGCCCCGATTCTCACGACATCACATCTGCCGCTTTTCAGGGAATACTGTGGAATAAACCAAGGCTCATATTATCCCGAGCGGACATGTGCGGATGAGCCACCGACGTGGCCTTATTGTTAGGCGCGTCAGCGACTAGGAAAGTGGGATATCGATCCGAAGGCAGCGCCCACCAGCGTCCGCCAGCGACCATCAGCCTCCCGAGGGAGCAGGAAATTATGGATATCGATCTAGCGTCTATCAGCGTCCACCTGCGACCACGAGTAGAGAGCATGGGGAGGTAGGAGGGAGGAGGCAGCTGGATCAAGCGTCGAGAATTGTAGCATGCAACCGGCTGTGCTACTAGACAATACCGTACTCATGGACGCTGGTAGCCGCTGTCACAAAGACCGAACGCACCTTATTGTCATCAGTGTGAGCGATTCAATGATTGCTTCCATAAAACCTTTCACAGTCATATCCATGCTGCTGCAAATACAGGAAATCTATTACTGATGAATGATTAAGTGGTTTGTTTCGTTTTGAGTCTTTTGTGTGGAACTGACTGTACGTCGTTACATTTTAGATTTCTGCTCCTCTCGATATCGGGCAGCAAGCAACTCTGCTCATTCTGCAACGAATCTATCACGAGTTGAAGGTGAGCCATGATAATTCAAACCTTTCTAAGAGACTACTGATCAGCTGAAGAAATGTAGTTCGGCAGATTACTTTATTAGCCAGCCTACGAGATAATAGAGGCCTAACAACAAGTCTTGATATTTTGGGCAAAGTCCATATATACCTGCTTGTACATTAATCATACCATGTTGCCAACACTTATAGTACGCCACATCAAAGACAAACTGAACTTTCACTCCCGAGGAGGCAGCTATACAAAGGTGACACTTTCACCACTCAAAGGCGCGCGGAAACGAAGGGTAGCGTCTGCCCGATGCTGACAGCCTCTTCGCCTTGGTGTAATTCGAAGTGCAGCTTGAGTCAATACCAAAATCCCAAATCTTTTCTATGGGCGGAGATGCAGACTGTGCTAACCATCCCTCACCCTGCGCAGGGTATGTGACGTTTGTGCAATGCACTTTTTTCGCACCTCTTCTCTCATGGGGGCAGAGTCGCCTGCGGTGTGACCCCACTTAATTGCTGGCTCGCTGCCTTCTGACCTCTCATCGAGTACGCTGTTCAGCCACCTATAACATGTTATAACACAGCTTGGAAAATATGAATAAGGAAGTGTGAAGACCGAATGAGTATTAAGTTTCAAACCTATGATTAAAATGTTAAAAATAACAATGATGGAGACTTTTTCTCAAGCTTAAAGAAAAGCTTCTAATTGCGTTTAAAGAAGATATAAATACATAAAGAGATTACCGCCTTCAAGCAGGTCAATTCGTAGAATGTGACCGTCAGCGCTTTTGATTATCCTAGATGTGATAAAAAGGTCATCGTTAAGAAGTATTCAAGGGCGCTACTTGACAAGAACCACCAGCACTGCTTTATGCACTCACTTGAGCACAGCATGAATCACGATCTCCTTCGCGACGATCTTCAGCAGCTACCATCATCCTTCTACACGTGTCCTTCCCTCCCTCAGCTTTCCACTAGCACTAGCCACCAGGAACATCAAGAACATGCATCTACATATTGGATGAACTCCGCGGTTCTTCAAGGCCCCCAGTCCACCACGACTCCGTTTGAATCATCATTATACATAGGCGCTTTGCCCCAGCTTTTCACACCACCATCGTACTACCTCCCCACCACTTCCCAGATTTTTGCAGGTTACAATTCAGCTGGACCGACATTCTATATTCCTATTCTTCGAGTAGTGTTATAACATGATATTATAATTTAGCCCTAGTAACAAAATCCCACTCATTGGCATATCAGCGGATTGAGTGAACAGCGTAATCAATGAGAGGTCAGAAGGCAGCGAGCCAGCAATTAAGTGAGGTCACACCGCAGGCGACTCTGCCACCATGGGAGGAGAGGTGCGAAAAAAGTGCATTGCACAAACGTCCTACACCCCCCTGCGGCATCATTTGTGCGCACTGTCCAGTGACAACAATGTCGTACTTGTACAGCTGTAAACTCTCGTTCTCATCACTCACAGCAAGGATTAGGATCCTTGGAGGTGCGAGTACAGGTTGTCTTTGTGCGTTCGTCCCGTTCATTACAGGACACCACCTCTTCATTCCTTTCACAGATAAGCTAGTATCCAACCATTTTCACCGTTGTATGGGCCGCAGTGAAAGTAATTGCTTGGTGTTTGAGTTGGAGCCGCAAGGCGACTTAGCACAGGCCACATCCACTTCGTAAACGCTCTCGTACCGCTAAAGGGGTAGCTAGAGAGATCCACATCGTGACGTGGGGTTTTGAGTGGTATCACTTGGGCGGCGTTCGCATCAGGACTTAACTCATTTTCGCGAACAGGACAGCTTCGATGGGGATTTGTTCAAAGCTGTTTACGACGACGGCCCCCCCCCCTTTTTTTTTATGGCTGGTACGACTTCCCCCTATGCTCGTACGATGTACGTCGCATGCTTACTACATACCTCATGAAGTGAACCACGTAACTCCTAGACAGAAATACGACCCCCTCCCAACAATGAGCAAATACGACCCCCCCCTCCTCCAAAACGTCCGCAAAGCGAGGAAAAAATCAACTATAAAAATAAAATTTTTCCCAGCCCAAATACGACCCCCCCCCCCTTTTGGCGGCCTCATACGACCCCCCCCATAGGGAATCCCCATCGAACGCTGTGCCCTGATCGCGAAAGTACTGCACTTCGTTGACTAGGAGGCGAATCGTTACTTTCCAGTCGCGGCGTAGTTGTACGAGTTGACTTGGCAGTCCACGCGCAGCGCCGCTGCCATGTTGAGATGCTGTGCGTAATTTGCGGCTGCGTCAACCAGCGTGTACCAGTGTCCACTAGCGTTCCGAGCGTCCGGGCGACTAGAAAAGTGTAGGTATCAACCTAGCGTCTGCCAGTGTCTGCCAGCCACTGGGAGTAGAGAGTATGGAGAAGTGGATAGTAGCAAACGCTGGATGAGGCGTCGTGAAATCGCGGCGTGTGCAACCGTACTCCAACAATACACCGCCCATTATATTGCATAATTTTGCGCTTTAGTAGTTGTGCGGTGCGCGTGCACGTCGTAGTTTCAGAACGTCTAATCCAGCTGTTGCTACCCTCCTTCTTCCCCATACTCTCTACTCCCCGTCGCTGGTAGACGCTGACAGACGCTAGATCGATACCTGTACTTCTCCAGCCCTCGAGACGCTGGCAGATGCTTGTAGACGCTAGATCAATATATACTTCCCTAGTCGTTGACGCTGCCGGACACATGGAATGCTCCTGACGCTGAGAGACGTAAGGGGACGCTGCCGCGAAGTACGCAGCCTCATGTTGCAAATGAACTCGTAGTGCGGTGCCGCTACTACGAGCTAGGCCTCACATCCAAAGAACAGCATC